CCTGCGATCCCCGCTCAGCTCCTCGGGAAGTGGGGCGACTTCCGGGGCTCTGGCGCAGGTGGTGCGGGGTGGGCCAACTGTCATTTCATCGCTTCAGTTTCCCTGCCTCAGTTTCCCTGGCCGGATCGCCAACGCGCCTTTCCTCCTTGAAGCCCCCAGCCGCCCCGTGCAGAGCGGCTCTCTGCCAGGGAGCCAGGGAGCCTCTCTAGGGGGCCGGGGGGAGTCGCGGTCCGTGCCCTGCGCGCCTGCTCGCTGCCACCTAGGGCTCCGTCCGCGCTGGTCTGGGAACAAAGTGCGGTCTGCTTCGGTCCACGCCCGAGCGCCCCCGCCCCAGACGTCCAGGGTTGGGGACACGGTGCAAGAGGGGTCCATGGCCCGGACCGAAGATGCCCGTTACGCCCCCCTGCCTGAGGACAGGTGGATTTTGCGTGGCAGGGTCCGTGGGCTCATGGTGCCACCTGTGGGACCGGACAGAGCCAGACCGGCCCCGGGATGCCGGCACCGAGACCAAGTCCACATTGCTCTGTGACGCTCAGCCTGGGTCCTGAGCCGAGTGGTGCCATCCCGGTGCAGACCCCAGAAGCCTGCGCCTGAGGCCGGGAGCCCCCTCAGTGTCCTCCTTCATGGTGCTTGGCCAAGGAGGTCACTCATGCCATCGCTCCGCCTGTGGCTAGGCTGGTCTGTCCCTCTTCCAAGTCTCCAATTTGACGCCACTGGCTGCAATGCTGGGCCCTTGGGTGTGTGTGCGTGCGTCTGAGCGTGGGCGTGTGTGCGCGAGAGTGTCTGTGTCACTTCGGGTCTGCGGGAGGCAGTGCTGGGGGGACGCTGAGGGTGTGGTCCGGAGGACCCAGCGTGGATAATTTCTGGGGCCAGGAGATGCGCGTTCATTTAGGAGATGGGGTGGACGGTCTCTCCGTCCCTTACTCCACCCCCTCCTCAAAACGAAAGCCCAGGGGCCACCGGGACCTGCGGGGGTCCTCCCCGGCCCCCGCCCCGCCCCTCCCCTACCCCCCCCCGCGGGCGCGGGAGCGCAGGTGTCTCCAGGCGGCGCCTTCCCCCGCCCCCGCCCCCGCCCGGGAAAGCGGTCAGGAGGGAGCCGGCGGGGAGGGGTCCGGGGTAGATGCGTCTGTGTCACGGGGGAGAGAGGAGAAAAGGGAGGGGAGCGCGGGGAGCGAGAGAGCGCGCGGCGAGCGAGGAGGCGGGCGGGAGGCGGATCCTCCTACCTGGGGCGCGCTCGCTGCTTGCGGCTCGCTTGCCGGGCCCGAGTCACCTGGGGAGCCCGACAAGTGCGGACACATTGGCCGCCGCGGCGGCGCTCGGCGAGGCGCGCACGGCCCGAGGCGGCTGCGCCCGTGGAGGCAGCGCCCGCCCGCCGCGCCTGGCCCTGGCCCGCGCTCGTAGGGCCCCGCGGTCGCCCAGCGCGCCTCCGAGGTCGCGGTCCCGGGCCCCGGTGCCTCTCCGGGGCGCACGCGGCGGCCGCGGCGCCCCGGGCTCACCATGGTGGCTGCGCGCGCCGAGCGCCCGCGCGTCGCCGGCCGCCCGAGCCGCAGCGCCGGCTGAGCGCGCTCCGCCCGCAGCCCCAGCCCCTGCCCGCCCCCGCCGGGCCCGCGCGTCCCCCGGCCGCCGCTGTCTATGGCGCAGCCCCCCGCCCTGGATCATGCACAGAAACTCTCGCGAGTGGATCTTCTACGTGTTCCTCTGCTTCGGCGTCCTCTACGTGAAGCTCGGGTGAGTACGGGGCGGCGGGTCCCCTCGGGGACGTGGGCGCGGGAGCGCAAGGCTGCGCTCGGTTTCAGGGCGGCCGGGGCACCGGCCCTGCGCCCGGTCCCGCGCAGCGGCACCCGGGCCCGACGCCGCGGGCTCCCAGGGGCGCTGGGCAGGGGCGGGGCACGCGAGCGCGGGGCGCGCGGGTAGCGGCGAGCGTGCCCGGCGCCTACTTTCACCTGTTTGGGCTCCGGGCCCCGGAGCGGGACGCGCCTTCCCTCCCCCGGGCTGCTCTGGGCGCCGAGCCCGGGCCGAGCGCTCGCCGCCGGGAGGGCGCGCCAGGCGGGGGGCGGGGGGCGTCCGCAGCCGGGCAGGCCGGGCGGGAGGGGGACAGGGGCGCACACTGGGCGGCGCGCGTGCAGGCCCCGCAGCCGCCGCGGCCCCGCGTCTCTATCCATCACCCGGACGTGTTGAAATTACCTTGACAACTCGTCCGGCTGGCTCGGGATGGGCTGCGGGCTGGCCCGGCCGCCTCGGGCTCGGTCCAGGGCCCGCGCCCCCGCCCGCCCAGGACTCCGGGCCCGGCCCCCTCTCGCTGCGCTCCCCCTTGCGCGGCCCGGCGGGCGGGCACCCGGCGGCCGCGCGCTGCTCGCTGCGGTAGCTGCCCCGAGTCGTATTTCCACATTCCTGAACCCAGCCGAGTCCTTACCTGTTGAGCTGCGATCTCCTTTAGACAGAATCTGCCTCGGCCTCTCTCGATTGGGGGTGGAGGCTGGTGTGACCGGAGGGAATACGGTGCACCTCGCAAGTGGCGCCCACTGCCCCGCGCCGTGCGCCCTGGGGCAGCCGCACCCCACCGCCCCGTCCTGCTGTGCGCCTACTGTGTGCCCGGCACACCCACGGGCCCCTTGTGAGTAGACCCGCAGGACCCGTGGAGAGAGAGGCAGGCCTCCCAGGCGGTGGTGGATTCTCGCGTCCTTCAGACCTCTTGGCCTCCGCAGTTTTACAGGTGGAGAAACCGCGGCCCGAGCAGGGGCCCCCGGAGCAGTGCTGGAAGCCCGGGCGCTGGTCTCAGTGCTGCAGGCCTGGGCGGGCGCCTGCCCTGCTCTGGTGGCTCTGTTTATTGTAGTCTGTGGGCAGGCTGTGTCCCTGCGTGTTTGTTTATGGAGCTGTGGGGCGCCTGCGTCCAGCCTCCGGGGTTGGGGTGGGCCGGCCACTGTCTTCCAGACACCTGGCGCCCCGGGGTGCCATCTCTGCTGCCTGGCTGCCCCCGGAGGCCTTGGGCAGCTCCTGGCAAGCCCTGGTTTGGGGCTTTAGCTCCCTGGGCTTTAAGGATTAGGAAACAGTGCAGGAGGCCAAGTCACTATCCCGAGGAGTGAGGAGGCCAAGTCTCCAACACGGGGATCAGTGGCAGAGCTGGGGCCCTCTGTGGCCCCTCCCCCAGTAGCAGAAGCTGAGGGTCAGGCAGCCTGGGCCCCTGGGGGGATGAGTCCCCAGCATGGAGGTCTGTGCCCCTGCCTGCTTGCTGTAAGAGTGATCGAGGCTCTGTCCACTCCGGATGGCACAGGACAGAAAAAGCAGGTGAGCCGGAGCCCAGTGGACCCCTAAGGCCAGGCTGGGCCCCTCACCGCAGGCTGTGGGAAGCCGGGAAGCACTCCCAGGCTCCTCTCCTGGAGGCCCTCGCCCTACCCAGGAACCTCAGAGGGGGTCGTTTGCCCCGGTGGGTCCCTCAGGTCCCTAAGGGAAGGGTGGGCAGGGAGGGGAGCCTCCTGGCTGGCTGCTTCCTGTGTGCACTGTTAGAGGTATCAGGTAGGCAGGAGGGGACAGTGGGGCCCAGATGAGGAGGAGGTTCGGGGGCCTGAGTCCCACCCCCAGCCTTCTCAGCCTGTCCTGGAGCAGCAGCTGGTTACCCATGAAGCTTCCTTCCCGAGGCTGGGGAAAGAGGGGTGTCCTGGGCCTTTGTCCTGGCAGGGACCTCTATACAGCCTCTTTACCTTAACCACCAAGAGGCCACAGCCTAAGTGGCAACCGGGGGATGTGTCCCAACGCTGTGGCCCAGCGTCTCACAATCTGGGGAGATGGGATTTGAGGGTCATAAAGGTTCCAACCCCAGTTCAGAGATTGTGGGTGCTGGGGGCTTTCCGTGATCCACGCTCCCCTAGCCCACCCCGGTGTGCTGCGTGTTTCTGCATGTTCTGGGACAACATGCAGCCCCCACCCCCACCCAGCAACCTTCCAGAACGGCCCTCGGGGCTCCCATACCAGAGGAACCAGAAGTTGGCCCTCACAGTCCCCAAGGAGATAGGCCCTGGGAGCGGCAGCTCCTCACCTGGGGCACTTTTTGGATGGCTTGGCCTGCAAGCCCCAGGCTCGGAAGAGGCCAGGGTGGGGCAGGGAGCAGCTCTGCTGGAGTCTGGGCGGCTGGAGTCTCAGGACCAGCCCTGCCTGGGATTGCATGGCCAGAAGGAACAGAGGGGCTAGAGGATCTGGGAAGCAGAAGCCATGAAGGAGGAATGGGGGGAGGAGCCTTTCTTCTGGACTCTGGCAGGGCCTTGCATGCTCTGTGACACCCCCACAATGGACAGGGTTCACACCCCTGCAGGGGGATGCTCTTATGCAGCCAGGATTGGCAGAAAAACAGGAACTGGGACTCCAATCCTGTGCTTCTAGGCAAAAAACCAAAACAACACCTTACAGAAAGAGAAGGGATTGTTTGGAAAGTGTCTTTCCGCTCCACAGCGGTCCCAAGCAAATCCTCAAAGGACAGCCCAAGCTGTAGGGTGGGAAAACTGGATGTGGGCCCTGCCTAGTGTGAGGAGAGGGCTCCTGCCACTCCAGGAGGGCTCTGGCAAGCAGGACAGACAGCCGCTGCACGGCGCGGGGGTCCACACCCAGGTCCCCTACCCCGCACGCAGCGGTCTGTGCACACACACCTGCGCCCACGCTCCCACAGGCGCACGGCGGCACATCCATGCGTCCGGCCGCTGCTGCCGAGCCCAGCCCGAAGAGAAGCCTGCGCCTCTGTGCTGTTACCTCGGGGTGCCACCCCCAGGGGTGCGCTCCAGAGCCAGCTCAGAGCCCTGTGGCTCGCGAAGGTGGGGGTGAGCGCATCCCCGGCGGAGGCAACTTGGACAAACCCTGGGGGCGGCTCCCGCCTCCCGCTCGCTCGCTCTCCGGTCAGCCTCCCCTTTAAAAAACCCGCCCCGCCGGGGAGGCGGATGTAGGGGCGGCCCGTCCAATGGCAGCTGCGCGCCTTGGGAGACTTGGAGACGTGAGCCAGCGCAGCGACAGAGCCGGTTCGCACCGACAGACGGACGGAGGGCCAGACAGCCATCGAGGCGCGTCCGCCACCTCCGGCCCGTCCCCGGTCCCGGCCCTCTCCTCCAGCCGCAGCGTCCGCCGCGTCCCCAGATCCAGCGCGATGCGCGGCCCTGGCGGTGGGGCCCGGGCGACCACTGCCTCCTGGCCCGCGAGCCCGGGCCCCTAGCGCCCAGTGCGGCCGCCCTGCATCGGGGAGGGCCGCGGAGGCCCCCGGCCTCGGCTGGCCCAAGAGCCCTGTCAGAGGGGCCTGCCCAGCGCCCCAGGCGCGCGGCCCGCCATGCTCCTGCTGTCGCCGCGCAGCGCGCTCCTCTCCGTCTACTGCCCGCAGATCTTTCTCCTCCTGTCCAGCGGCAGCTACCTGTGAGTGCCGCGGGCGGCGCGCAGGGTGGGTGGTGTGATCCCCCGGCCTGCAGTGCTAAAGCGGGGCGGGCGAGGAACTGGGCAGCGGGGTCCAGGGAAGGGCTCCGGGGATACCGCGCATAGGCAGGGGGCTGGGGATCTTGGATTGCTGAGCCGCCGGGGCAGCGCACGCACCTGGGGAGCAGCCGCTGCGGCAGGGAGAGGAAGTCCAGCGGCGGGCGGGGAGGACGGGCTCAGAGGGGTGTCCTGCGGCCCTGCACACCGGGCTGTGTGCAGGCGGCGCGAGGGCCGAGGGATGGGGCAGAGCAGACAATCTCTGCGCGTCCCCGCCGGATCTGGACCAGAGGGGGTCTCTCTGTGTCAACCCACGAGGCGCGCGTGGGCGTGCACACTAGCGGGAACCGCACGCGCACGCCTGCTCCCCCTTGTGCACACCGGACACGCGGTGCAGCCGGCGCCCGGTCAGCGGCGCCCATCCTGTGCCCAGCGATGTTGCCTTGGGTTCTCGTGCCTCCCTGCCGGGCTGGGCAGCCGGACCCGGCTCTGGTCTGCGTCTCACCTGCGGGCGGGGAGGGCGCGCAGTGCGCGAGGGCGGCGGCGGCGCGCCCAGGTGTCAGGGCGCAGGGAGCGCGCGGAGCTCGGGGGCACGCGGGCATTGGGCAGGGCAGCGCCCACCAGCCTCCGGGAAGCCGGGCGGCCCAGTCCGGCCCAGTGAATCGAGGGGGGCGCGTCCGCACAGCGGTGGCTTCGCCCGATTCTCTAATAGGACGCATATGCTCTGGCCTCCGATTTAAAAGAGTTTGATTTATGGAACCGCTGTTTGGGGGAATTTAAGCTGGATGCTACTGATTAAACCTCAGCGCCAGCGCTCCCTCCCCCTCGCGTCCCCTCCCCCGCCCCCTCCTTTACACGCGGGCCACGTCCGGGGTCGCCTAAAGTGGCCAGAGGGGACAGCCACCGCCTCCCGTTCCCGCGCCACCCCCTCCGCCGCGCGGCCGCGGACCTAATAAATCGCTGCGCCCCCCTTCCTTTTAATAAATACACAGCCAATTTCTCCTCCAGCTCCTAGGAAATTACTATCCTACCAGTTTCCCTTCTATAAATAGTCGCGCATCTTGAAACAAAAGTTTGCAACCGCAGCCAGATGCTGCTGAGGCCCGCGGTTTCCCCGGCTGTGGGACATAATTACAAGGTCCAGGCAGAGCGAGCGCTCCAGGCCCGCGGGCAGCCCCGCTGAGGAGGCATCGCCTGGGGCGGGGTGGGGGGCAGCACGCCGCCCTGGGCAGGGCGCAGGGCCTGGTGAGCACCGCCTGATTCGTGGGGACTCGGGCTAAAAGAGTGACCAGCCGGACGGTCCTGCTTCTGGTGTCCCTCCCGGGATGGCAGAGGGGCCTTGGAACCCGGCTTCCGGTTCTGGGAGTTCTGAAAGCTTCCCCCTCCCCAGAATCCTGGCATCTGGGTCGCCAGCCTCGCTAGCCATCCGGCAGCGAGTCATTTTTGGAGCTGCTGGCTGAGGTTTGGTATGCCTGGGAGGTGCGCTGGGGGAGCCAGGAGCCCTGGGGGGCGTTTGGAAGAAGACTTGGGAGGAGGGTGGGGGTGGGGGCGCGCAGCCGCCGAGGGGTGTCTGGCAGGTGGGAACCAGGATCGCTGCAGCCCCCCAGTGTTCTTTGGGATGCCCCTGCCCCAGTCTGTGGTGGCCACCGTCTGTACCCACACTGGCTCACTCCTGCTGAACTGCCAGCTCTGTGGGCAGAGATGCTTTTAAGGGAACAGCTTTCTCCAGTGTTTCCGGGCCAGTGCTGGGGTTCAGTGTGTGTCTTGGGGGACTGTTAGACAGCCTTGGGACAGGAAGGTAGTGCTAGGCCAGCCTGGTCTTCAGCCCCAGGGGGAAAGAAAGTGTCCATGTCCCAAGGGCCACCGACTCTGGGGTTCCCAGAACCAGAGGGTAGCCTAGGTGTCCTGGCTGCCTTTCCCTTGCTGGGTAGCCAAGGGGCTGGCCAGTGTGTGAGGTGCCCCAGGTGGGCACCAGGCCTGGGGAGTTTAGAGGGAAGCCTGCATGATAGGTGGGTGGTCCCTGACCCTGAGGGACTTGTGTGGGACACCTGTGCCAGGTGCCCTGAGAACCTGGCAAGGTGGGAGGGTCCACGTGCCCCAGCCCTTGGCCCTGCAGGAGCACCCCGAGGGCCAGCAGGAAAGACTGACTTCATTCTCCTGCAGAGAATCTTCCAGAAGGCGTCCCTCGCTGCCATCAGCCGGGCAGACAGTTTATCTGGCCCTTTTCATCTGGGCTGCGCTCCCAGCCAGCGCCTGTGCCGGCCTGTGGTCCGCACTCAGCCCAGCCAGACCCATGCCTGGGCCCCTGCTGCTGATCGGGTTGGACGGGTGTGCTGGCCTGGAAGGGCCCGGGGCCCCACCGGATGCCAAGGGTGGCCCAGCTGTGTGCAGCGGCCCAGGCCAGCACCCCATCCCTATGCCCGCGGGTCAGAGCAGAGCTCCCAGGGCCGGTGGGGGTCAGCAAGGGCCCGGAGAGGGCAGGTGGGGCCCGGGCCACCAGGAGGGCTTGTGTTGCTGTGTCAGCTGGTGTGGGGGCCTGGCTTGGGCCCAGAGCGAGGCTCAGGCTGGGCCACTGTCCTGGGCAGGTCCCTTCCGGTCTTGGCGTCCTCTCCCAGATGTGGGGGTTGGCTGTGACACCCCCTGGGTCTTCCGGTGCAGCCTGTCGTGGTGACTGCCTGCTCTGGGGAGCCGAGTGAGTCATGGGTGACAGGCCGGTTACTCACCGACCACCTGGCGTGGGGGGCGGGGTGCCCACCGCGGCCTGCCGGGGCGAGCCTCTTCCTGGCACCCACTGTGGGTTTGTTGGTGGTGGGGACCACAATCCCAATAGCCTTACCGCAAGCGTGACCCTCGGTGGGATGGGCGCTGAATCAGGCCCACTCCCCGGGCCTCATAGCCTCATAGCCGGGGCGGCCAGCGCGGCCCTCGGCCTGACACAGGCCAAGTCGCCGCTTGGGGAGGGACATCTGTCTGTCTCTCTGAAGTTCAGTCTTCCCCCGGGCTGGGGGTACGGAGACACCGCCCACAGGCTCAGCCGGGAACCGTGTCCCTCTGTGTTCACAGGCAGGTGACACTTCGGCGGGGCGGTGGCCCATGGAGGTTAGAACTGGGAACCTGGTGGCATTTTGAGCCCCAGCATCCCTCCTGGCTGGAGGTAGACACATGGAGCCTCTCTGATCACAGAGAATGCCACGAACCCATTGCCCCCAGGCTGCGCCTGGTCAGTCAAGGGAGGAGGTGGTGCCCGCCCTTAGGAAACCCAGGACCCAGGGGTGGACAGGTCGGGTTCTCTGCAACCTCACCTCTTTCTGCCTGGCCTTGTCTGGACCCCGCTGTCCCCATTGAAGAGAGCGCCAGGTTTGCCTCGACCTTACTGGGTGGCCAAGACATGGTTGTTCTTATGTCAGGTGCAGGGACCTCCCCAGTGGCAACACAGAGGGCGGCCCAGCAACTATATTTATTCAGGAAGGAGAGACAAACTCGCTGGGTATCTCAGTGCACCAAGCCAGGGTTTTGAAGGATGAATAGGTGTTGGTCAGACTAAACAAAAGCAGGAAGCTCTCAGATGAGTAGGGTGCTGGGGACCAGAGATGGGGTCTATCCTGAAGTTGCCAGAATCTGGGTCCAGCCTCCCGGCTCCCGGTCCCTGCAGGGAAGTTCTCCAGGGGTGGTGCTGCTGGGAGGATCTTGTGGTGGACACAGGTGGTCCAGCGGCTATCTGGGATGCCACGAAGGGGAGTGGGGGGCCGTCACATCCACCCCGTTGTCACACCCTTCCCTGGGCCCCCCTTCGGCCACCCTGGGTACTGGCTGGCAAAGTCCTGGCTCCTCTCCCTGTGCCTCCGGCAGCCTCCAGGGCCAGTGGGCCACGGGGGCACCTGGAGACACCCAGAGCACGGCTGGGTTTGGATCGGGGCCGTCACGCTGGGTGGCCCCAGTGTGGTGGGGCCTGGCGACTGCTGCCGTGCAGGGCAGGCCGTGTCCTCTTCCGTGGCAGGCGTGGCTCCAGGGGGCTTCCCGGGGCCTCTGTCCACATGGCCCTGGGTCCGGCTCAGATAGGGCCCAGCTCCCTCCCGAGGGGACCAAGGGGATGGGAGGCGGGAGCCCTCCCTTGTCAGATGAAACCCCGGCCCAGGGCTCCCTCAGCCTGATGAAAGGGTCATTGTGTGGCGCGGGCCGCCCGCTGGCCAAGGACAAAACCTCCGTTTGTCCTCCCTCCTTGGCTTGGGGCTGGGGGCCTCCCCTCAGGCTGGCTGGTGGGGTGGGGGTGGGTACAGGTGTGCACCCTCCTCCTGTCCCTCCCGTCTCCTGCTCCGCTGCGGCGCCTCCCTGGGCCCGGCCACCACCAGGGCCACCGCTCCCTCTGCTGGGGATGCCGAGGCCTGGGCTGCTGTGAGCATCCGGCCCTGGAGGTGTCCGAGTGGATGCAGGAGGAACGAGGTGGGGGGCACTGCCCAGGCACTGCCAGCCCTCACGGGTCCTCCGGCATAGCATCCCGGGCATGGCTGGCCCTTGATACAGATGTAGATGCTGAGGCCACCCCCAGCCCGGCAGAAGGTACCCTGGCCACAGCTCAGGGACAGCGGAGGGGCTGGCAGTGCCCAGAGGCTGGGCTGAAGCTGAGTACGTGGAGACAGCAGTGGGCCCAGCTGATGTGTGACTCTGTGGATCTAAGCTTTCCGGGGCCTCTGCTGCCTCTGAGGGTGGCTCTGGGGCCAGGGGTGCAGCTTCCTCGTGGGCTTCTGTCATGGCCCCTCCTGAGATGAGGCTGACAGGGGCAGAGGTAGGCTGGCTGGCTAGCTTGTGACCTTCATGGGGTTCGTGTGCAGCTGGGGAAGCTGGATCCTCACCTGGGGGGCTTCCTTCCCTTCTCTGGGCCTCAGTTTCCCCATCTGGGCAGTGGGTCCCAATATCCCCCCAGGATCCTCGTCCTCTTTCCCGCACCA